CGCAGCGGGGTCGCCCGCCCGGCGCACACACGGGCACACGCGACGGTGGGGGGTGGGCGGCAGCAGCAGGGCCGCCCGGGCGCCCAACGAGGGGCTACATGCTTTGCCCAGGGAAGCCGGGAGAACGATGGGCGCGAGCTTTGGGGACGCGAGGGAAGGAGCGAGCGGAATCGGCCAGCTTAGCTAGGAGACCAGTCCAGACCCGGCTGGCCGGCTCAGTCAGTCAGCGCCGCGGCGGGGGCAGCGCCGGGTCCCGCTCAGACCATTTTAACTGCGGCTCCGCCGGCGGCGCGCGCGCCCGCGACACAGCCTGGAGCTGCGGGAGCGCGCGACGCGCGCCTGGAGGGGGGGGCGGAGTTGGTCGCGGGGACGCGCGTGGAGCGGCGACGCCGGTGCCGGCTGCTCCACCCGGGTGGGCCGCCAGCCGGGCGCTCACCGGGGAGAAGCTGACCCTCGCGGGTGCAGAGTTCACAAGGTGCCGGGCACGCCCCTCTTCCCGTTCGCCTAAAGGTTTCTCCGAGGCCGCGGGGCGCCCGCCCCTCTTCTAAGGCGGGAGGAGACACTTCCGAGCCAGCTGTGTGACATCCGTTTCCACAGCCGCGCTGACGTCTGGAGGTGTAAGTTCAAGAGCTGCCATTGGCCAGAAGCCGCTCGGCTCTTCCCTTCGCTCCCCACCCACCCCGTCTTCACCCCCGACTCGGAAACCCGGTTCGGAACCAGGAAGAAGTTCCACCGGAAAGGCCGCCGCGGGCCCTGCGGGGAATGGCTGACGCCTTGCCCTTGGGCCGCGCGCGGGGTCGCGGCCGGGGCCTGCCGGCTGGGTCCGCACCGGTTTCCCCCACACACACTCTTGTTCTCCTACTTGTTGCGTCCTGCTGTCCTCCTGCAACTTCGCTTCAAATCGATGGCATTATTAGATTATCTGTGCACGGCAGAAAGGTCCTTTCTCAACCCGATGAGTCATCCCGTGTTGCAGACCACAGCTCTGGATGGCTGCTGTGTGTACCCTGGGTATTCTGTCCAAGCTGTGTGTGTGTTGGTGCCACGATGGCTGGGGTGGGAAAGAGGACGGAGGCTTATATGAACCCTGTGGAAGGTTTAATGATAATGAAGGTATATGGAAGGGCAGTCACCAGTGTCACACCTGATGTGGAGACATTAGCTTTCCACAAAGGAGGCTTGAATACTCTTGTTTAAAAACCAGTGTTTTCATTTGTGTTTTTTTTTCTGCTATGAGACAATACTAAAGATTGAGTAACTAATTAAAAGGAAAAAAAAAGTATATTTGCCCAGTGATTGTGGAGGCCAAGAAGGCCAAAGCATCTTCATATGGTGCCATAACTGGGTGATAGAGCCAGGACAGTCCTCATACTTTTTATCAGGAACCCCACTCCGTTAATGTAATAGCAACATTAATCCAATCTTGATGGCAGAGCTCTCACGGCCTGCTTTTCTTTCTGTCTCTCTTCCTTTCCTTCATTGTTTTTGTATCCTGGGGCTTGAACTCAGGGCTTAGGCACTGTACTAAGCTTTTGTGTTCCAGGTTAGTGAGCCCAAGCTCTACTTCAGAATTGTTCTGTGATTAACTAGAGATAAAAGAGTCTCACATACTATCCTGGTCATGCAAGCTTTGAACTGTGATCCTCAGATCTCAGCCTCCTGAGTTGCTAGGACTATAGGCATCAATCACCAATGCCCAGCATTGACAGGGATTTTGCTTGAAAATGTTTTCTTGTTTTCTCTTTCAACATTGACAAAAGTTGATATACCTTTAATGAATCAGATATAATTCATTATTACACTAGAAATCGAAGGTTTTTTTCCTGTTGACTTAATAAAAGAAACACAAGTACAGATAGTAGTAGGGGCTCTTATGGTACAAACCTAAAGAAATACTTTCTAAAGTGAATATTTCCCATAATAATTATTTTCTTTTTTATAATAATTATTTTCTATGTCAATAAATAATATTCTCCATGTCACCAGATACTGAACATTTGATAACTTTAAAAAGAACAAACAAGGCAGGTGCAGGTGGTTCACACCACCTCATACAGGAGACAGAGACCTGAAGATCCAGATTCCAAGCCAGCCAGGACAAAAGTACATGAGACCCTTATCTCCAATTTACCACAAAAAACCAGAAGTGTAGCTGTGACTCAAGTAGTAGAGTGCTAGCAACTAGGGACAGTGCCCAGGCCCTGAGTTCAAGCCCCAGGACCAGCAAAAAAAAAACAGCATTTACTTTACACTTCAATGCATCAAAATCATCATTGAAAAAAAGTTGTGAAACATAGTCATTGGAAAGAGACAAATATCTACTAAGAACCTCTTATAAACGAACTTTACAACTTTGGTGGGGGGGGGGGAAGGAGCATAGGAAGGGACAGGAAGGGGAAACAAAGGAGGAGGCTACAATGCTTGATAAGAAATGTGCTCATTATCTTACCCATGTAATTGTAACCCCTCTGTACAGTATTTTCACAATAAAAATATATTTTAAAAAAAGAACCTCTTATAGATACCTATTTAAAAAGAAAAGTGCTGGTAGCTCACACCTGTGATTCTAGCTACTCAGGAGTCTGAGATCTGAGGATGACAGTTCAGAGCCAGCCCCTGTAGAAAAGACCATGAGACTTATCTCCAGTTAACCACCAAAAAACCAGAAGTGGTGCTGTGACTCAAGTGATAGAGTCCTCTCCTTGAGCTGAAGAGCTCAGGGACAGCACCCAGGCCCAGAGTTCAAGCCCCATGACCCCCCCCAAAAAATTGAAAGCAAAACTAGCTCTAAAACCTACTTTAAATTATATTGCTTATTTCATACTCTTTCACCTAACTTTGATTACCAGTCTACCTCCTTTCACCTTGAAATGTCTGACTATGCCTTTCTATTCTCTTCTACCCCTCTACAGTAAAGATATGCTTTATAGCATCTTACTGATTTAGATTTTGGAAATCATATACGAAGAAAATTAAAGGGAATATTTGATAATCTCAAGTTGGAGAACAATGGAAAATGTAGAAGAATCTGGGGCCCACACCTGTAATCCTAGCTACTCAGTAGGTTGAGATCTGAAAATCACAATTCACAATTAACCCAGGCAAGCAAGCCCATGAGTCTATTATCTCTAATTACGCAACAAAAAAAGCCAGAAGTTGAGCTGTGGTAGAGTGCTAGCCAAGAGGGAAAAAAAGCCCAAGAACAGTGGCTGGTTATACCCTGAGTTCAAGCCCCAGGACCAGCACACACACAAAAAGGCAATATTTATTTTTCACACTGAAAAGCTACCCAAATAAAATTATAAGCAAGTATGTACTCCATGATTATCATTGATTAAATCTATGTGTAATTAGTAGATACAATTTTTTTTTCTTGGTGCTGGTCCAGGGACCTGAACACAGGGTCTATCTACATACTGTCCCAGAGCTTTTGTTTTTCTCAAGGCTAGCCATCTACCACTTGAGCCACAATTCAACTGTCCACATTTTCTGGTACTAATTGGAGATAGGAGCCCCACAGACCTTCCTGCCCAGACTGGATTCAAACTGAATCCTCAGATCTCACTCTCCTGAGTAGCTAAGATTACAGGCATAAGGCATGTGCTCCCAGCCAGATCTATCTTTATAAACTGAAATTTGGGGTATGGATAACTTTCTATTATTAATAGTTATGCCTCTGCTAAATAAGGCAGAAGAGCAGTTATTGAAATCACAAGTGGGAATTTAGTCCTCTATATTCAATATTTTATTTTTTTCAATATTTTATTAACAATATTAAAAAAAACTTTGAATTTTGTGGGGGGTTTTTTGTGTTTTTTTGTTGTTATTGTTGCTTGGGGTTTTTTTTGGTAAAAGACCCAATGAAAACAGAAAGAGACCATCTAAAACATCTTTTATACACAAGTTTGTTTTTATTTTTGCCAGTCTGGAAGCGTGAACTCTGGGCCTGGGTACTGTCTCCAAGCTCCTTTTGCTTAAGGCTACTTGAACCACAAACTCCACTTCCAGCTTTTCCTGTGTAGTTTATTGGAGATAAGAGTTTCACTGACTTTCCTGCCTGGGCTGACTTTGAAATGTGATCCTCAGATCTCAACCTCCTGAGTAGCTAGGATTATAAGCATGAACAAACAATTGTTTTAT